TCCCGACTGCAATAAAACCAACATTTAATATAAATATACATGTTAAAACCAATAACCAAGAATAAACAAGAAATGCTTAAAATTAATCACATATATAAATCCCCACATATAATGATAATCAATACAATCATCCAATCGAATGGACAAATCCATGTATATCTACATAACAGTCCCTCTGCTTCATTATTCTTACATAACAACCACTCATATATGGGTAAGACCATATATTGTAGATATCTTACATCAATATTGCACAAAATCAATATAGCACAAAATCGATATAAAAAAGATGACCAAATGCTTTGATATAAAGAGATGATCAAATTGTTATATAGGAGTAACAAAATCGTTTCATAAGCAGCTGGAGTTTCCTGTAAACATATTACACGCACAATAACCAGCACTTCTTCAGCTACATGTCCAAACCACATTAAATACATTAATTTCTGATAGCACCTACAACTCACTTAGGTAACAATGACATAGACAGTCATGCCCTATTATTCAGAATAGTGTGTGACATCCCATTCATAATTTAAACCTCCGGGTATGCGTGTCAGCAATTTGAAAATTAAGTATGCCTCTCTCTCTCTAGAAAACCTATTCCCACCTCTGGGTGAGCCATGTATATAATCTGCATTCTAAGTGATTGCGTATTACCTCTGTGTAACTTAGAAAATTGTCTTGCAACATTCATGTTTTTACAATTCCTGATGTTGGAGAAATAATCCCTCATGCGGTCACATAGATGTCTTGTAGTCCTTCCTGTGTATTGTTTTCTATATGTTACACAGGAGATAACAAATCTTGTTTACTATTTTTCTTTATAGTAAACTACATCCCATTAGTATAGGAAATCACTCTATATGTGTCACCCACATAAGCACAGCTAAAACATCTGGATGTGCAACACCTATACTCTCTTGTAGTCCTCAACTAGTTACTTCCACATATCTTCTGTCTCTGTGACCACTCACACGGGCTTGTTCACCGGATATCCTTGTCTGTTGCCCGTCCTGACCTCTGGCTCATCGTTAGTTATCTGTGTCTGTTGCCTGTCCTGACCACTGGCTCATTGTTAGTTATCTGTTGTCAGCTCTGACTGGCTCCTGGCCATCTGTGCCACAATCAGCCCTCACCTCTGCACTGTTCCTGGTGGCCTCTGACTTGTGGTGCTTGAGCAGGGTGAACCCGAGGGTGGCGGCCTGGAGTCAGCCTGCAGTGAAGCCCAAACCCCTGTGTCCTTGGTGCACATCAGCTGTCTCTTAAGCTCTGCATCCCAGGGGATCCCACGTCACCTGCTCTCACGTGGGATTATCCTGTTACTTTAGTGAGTCCTGAACAAACTTTCAGGTCTTTTCCATTCCAGAGTGACCCTAATCCAGGTTTCTGGACCTCCCTCTTCCAGTATGCTCCTGTGTGCTCCTACTCTGCAGATCCAACTCTTTGGCCTATATGCTCTGTGGTGCTGTGCTCTACCATGAACCAGCTGTCGGCCTACACTTTTGGGGTAAGCCTATCATATTTCTTTAGGGTATCCCTTACTGTATAGCTAAAGGGTTCACACCAGCACAGCTGGCATCCTGACAGTGTGCCTGTTTTCTTTACCTGTATTATATTATAATAAATTATATATTATAATGTTATATTGAAAAGCAAATGGATTCTTCTTTTCTACATTCAGCTGACGCTTCTGAATCATGCTGGGTGTAGACACAGTTCACTGGACATCAGCAATATAGCAGAGAATAAACACCACACCCCCAGCAAACCTAAGTCCAAGTCCATGTGAAGCTGGATGACGATAAAGTCACCAATACCGCACCCTTTTTTTTTCAGCTCCAATGTAAACACCTGCTGACATTGCTCTGCTTCCTTCTGCCCCATTCTGTTGTGTTGTTACATCAAGGACAACATTTCCCCTTTGGAAGGAATACAGCACCAGGTCTTCTGTTAGAGGAGCCACTTGCTAATGAGACTCAGGAATAATTTTCTTCTTAAACATACCTACAGGTGAACAGGTAAGGATTTGTGCCTTCTAAGCTTTCGTTTACAGATGGTCTCTGTTAAGCTATTAAGCAATATGTAAAAAACGTAAAAACTTTTTTTTGTAAAGGTACTATCCTGAAATCACAATGGTTATATGACTGAAGGATTTTGTGGTTTTGGATGCAAATTTGTCAGATTGGACAATTCAGTTAATATGTAGGACATTATGAATCCATAAATCTTGTTCTGTACACAGCTGTATGTTCACTTTCCCTTGCCTCACCTCCCATTCACTTAATCTGGCCCTTAGTGTCTCATGCATGTATGTGATGTTTGTATCGTACCATCTGTTTGCTGTACAGTAAGTGCTCCAAAATAGCAATAACAAAGCTAAGCACATTCAATTCACTGGAACTGCATAATGTATACTTGTATTTATGAGGTTTCCAAATGCAGAATATCTCAAAAATACCTTTGGACTTATCCTTGAAGGCAGCTGCTATCGGGACCTTATACTGCTTATAAACATAATACAATCTCAAAGCAAAAAATGTTAATAGATCTACCATTGTACATGAAGCCCTTGCAGTAAACTCACCAGCTCAGTAGTGTCTACATACCCTTAGGGTCCATTTTCATCTTTGCACCACGTTACCGCAAAGCATGTTAAATGCGTTGCAGTGCCATTCATGTTGAACAGCACACATGGTAATGCATTGCGTTAGAAAATATACAACACATCTTTTTTTTTTACACATTTTGAGTACATTGGCAATCCATTATTATCAATGGGCTGCCTTAATGCAATGCGTGTTAACCTACCTGCACTAACACCCTACAAGGTGTTAGTAAAAAGGTAAGAAAGGAGCAGATAGGCCCAATAAAGGACGAAAACGGGAAGTTACTCACAAGTGACAAGGAGAGGGCCGAGGCGCTGAACAATTTTTTCTCCTCAGTATACACTCAGGAGGGAAACGGGTTCGACATACGTGATAAAACACATAGTTCAACTGATAATATACCGTATTTTGCGGTCCATAAGACGCACCGGACCATATGACGCAGGGAGGTCCGGCGCGCCTTATGGAGCACCCGAGACTGTAGCTTCTGTCACAGCTTCTATGACAGAAGCTGTGACAGAAGCTGCAGTTAGTGACCGCTGAGACAGGTGGCGCTGTGATTACAGCGCCACGGTCTCAGTGATGACACAGAGCAGGCGAAAAACGTCTATTCTTCGTCTGCTCTATGGTACAAATTATTGAAAATAACGAAATCGATCGAAAAGCTACAAACCATTAAGATATCTCATTAGTGAGTGAATTAAAGTGAAATTGCGAGAAAAAAAAAGATAAGCAAACTAAATATATAAAAAGTTCTTTTATTTTTACTTTTTAAAAGAACTATATACATATTTAGTTTGCTTATCTGTTACCTTTTGATTTATCCATCACTTGGCTACTATATTCACTTTCACCGTATATCTAAACTGGTTTCTCATCTTGCAATTATTTGTTATCTTGCATCACGAATTGGGATTTTGGAGGAAACATTTGCATCTAATTTTTATATCACTATTTCGTATCGGAAATTTTTTTTATTTCAATTATCTCATGACTCGCAATTTTCACTCACTAACGAGTTAATTTAATGGCTTGGGATTTTTTGATATTTTTGATATTCTGTCACTTTGTCGCAATTTCACTTTAATTCACTCACTAATGAGATATCTTAATGGTTGGTAGCTTTTCGATTGATTTCGTTATTTTCAATAATTTTTTTCATATCGTGTTGCATTGTATCCACTTAGGAGCTTATGCTTAGATTATCATTAGTAACTATGTAAAAGTGATGTCACGGCTGGTTCACGCCAAGTTGTTGCCCTTCAATGACAGCCCAGCATCCTGGAGGACACTGGGCTGTCATTAAATGACAACAACTGGGCGGAGCCAGCCACGACATCACAGATTGCACTGCCAATTTGTTTTGATTTGTCCGGGACATGCGGACAGACTGTCAGGTGTCAGACAAATGTAAACAGTTGGGCGGAGTTAGCGCGGATGTCACCAATTGTTTATATTTTGCCGGCATCTGTCATTCTGCGCCGGGAGTTCGTCGCGTCCGGACGGGTCAGCGGGCGTTTTCAGAGTTTTTAAAATTCCTCTTTATTATTCTTTATTATTTTTATTTCGACGAGTTGCCGTCATCATTGACACCACTGGACGTCGTGTTTGACCTTAGGATTAAGTGTTTGGATCAATTTTGGGGATTTTTTTTCAAAAAAAAATCCTTTGTTGTGTTTTTTTTTTTTTTATTAAAGTATTTTTCAAAAGTCTAGCCTCTTTTAAAAAAAATACATTGAACCCTTTAGTGAATGGGTAGGGGTACAAGTACCTCTTACTCATTCACAAGGGGGGGTCGCATCTGGGTGCCCCTTTATTAAAGGGGAACCCTGATGTGAATACGCCCCTCTGCCCGCACCCCCGCAACCAACGCCCCATCAGCACGGGGACAAGGTGTTGGATCGGCTGAGTCGAACTGCTTTTGCACATTGGCTCAGCCGAACACGCAGAGTATGTGCGACTGACCGAAGGCAGCCAATGTACGGCTTATTTTAGCCGATGTACAGCTGAAATCAGCCGTACAGAGCCGAAGTGAATAGCCAAACGCCATTTTCCAATCTTTCTTTCATAAGATTAGACTTGTTCTGAATGGCGTACAACTTGGTTTTCCAATATCAGGAGGCCTATATTTGGGGTTCCAGGAGGATGAGATTAGATTATTTTTTTGTTCACTAGATAATGTTTTTAATCATCCACATGGCAAATTCATATTTAGTTGTTCTAGTGCTAAAATCATTATACAAATTAAAACAGTCAACCTGGCAAAAAGGAAAAAAGCCTGTGTCATTGAATACTGGACATCATTCCATGCTGATCAGAAATGTAAAATTCTGGATAAGAAAGTGAAAATATTATAACAACAATACAATAATGAAACTTTTTTTTACAGAACAAATGTGCATCATGTTGTTCCCTCTGCTGGTGGTGTTGGGTTTGATTCTTCTGTACAGATGGTACAGGCAGAGTCACATACTGGAGAATCTCTCACATAAATATGTTTTTATCACTGGATGTGATTCTGGATTTGGGAACTTGCTGGCTAAGCAGTTGGACAAACGTGGAATGAAGGTTCTGGCTGCTTGTCTTACGGAGACTGGTGCTAAAAATCTCAAGAAAGAGACTTCCAGCAGACTGCAAACAAGAATCCTGGATATCACTGACAGCAAAAGTGTGAGTTCTGCTGCCGAGTGGGTAACAGCCATTGTTAAAAAAGAAGGTAAGCTCAAAAAGGACCACCTTTCAGTCTATTGTTGAGATAATTTACTGTAGATTAAAAATAATTACCTCAATAAAAAATGTGTTTATACATAGAAAAAAGAGAAAAAAAGAAAAGAAAAAAATAATAATGTATTGTGATAATGCAACACACAGATGGCTTGTGATGAAATGCACTGCAAAAAAGGTCCAAGTCCGGTTGTGGTGCCTTAAAGCAGAATTAAAGTTTTCATATCCCCCAGGGATGCAGGGAGTGCAAAGGTGAGCAGTGTAGGAAAAGGGATGCAGGAGGTACAGAGGTGAACAGTGTAGGGAGAGGGATACAGGGGGTGTAGAGGTGAGCAGTGTAGGGAGAGGTAAGCAGGGAGTGCAGAGGTGAGCATTGTAGGAAGAGGAATGCAGGGGGTGCAGAGGTGAACAGTGTAGGGAGAGGGATACAGGGGGTGTAGAGGTGAGCAGTGTAGGGAGAGGGAAGCAGGGAGTGCAGAGGTGAGCATTGTAGGAAGAGGAATGCAGGGGGTGCAGAGGTGAACAGTGTAGGGAGAGGGATACAGGGGGTGTAGAGGTGAGCAGTGTAGGGAGAGGGAAGCAGGGAGTGCAGAGGTGAGCATTGTAGGAAGAGGAATGCAGGGGGTGCAGAGGTGAACAGTGTAGGGAGAGGGATACAGGGGGTGTAGAGGTGAGCAGTGTAGGGAGAGGGAAGCAGGGAGTGCAGAGGTGAGCATTGTAGGAAGAGGAATGCAGGGGGTGCAGAGGTGAACAGTGTAGGGAGAGGGATACAGGGGGTGTAGAGGTGAGCAGTGTAGGGAGAGGGAAGCAGGGAGTGCAGAGGTGAGCATTGTAGGAAGAGGAATGCAGGGGGTGCAGAGGTGAACAGTGTAGGGAGAGGGATACAGGGGGTGTAGAGGTGAGCAGTGTAGGGAGAGGGAAGCAGGGAGTGCAGAGGTGAGCATTGTAGGAAGAGGAATGCAGGGGGTGCAGAGGTGAACAGTGTAGGGAGAGGGATACAGGGGGTGTAGAGGTGAGCAGTGTAGGGAGAGGGAAGCAGGGAGTGCAGAGGTGAGCATTGTAGGAAGAGGAATGCAGGGGGTGCAGAGGTGAACAGTGTAGGGAGAGGGATACAGGGGGTGTAGAGGTGAGCAGTGTAGGGAGAGGGAAGCAGGGAGTGCAGAGGTGAGCATTGTAGGAAGAGGAATGCAGGGGGTGCAGAGGTGAACAGTGTAGGGAGAGGGATACAGGGGGTGTAGAGGTGAGCAGTGTAGGGAGAGGGAAGCAGGGAGTGCAGAGGTGAGCATTGTAGGAAGAGGAATGCAGGGGGTGCAGAGGTGAACAGTGTAGGGAGAGGGATACAGGGGGTGTAGAGGTGAGCAGTGTAGGGAGAGGGAAGCAGGGAGTGCAGAGGTGAGCATTGTAGGAAGAGGAATGCAGGGGGTGCAGAGGTGAACAGTGTAGGGAGAGGGATACAGGGGGTGTAGAGGTGAGCAGTGTAGGGAGAGGGAAGCAGGGAGTGCAGAGGTGAGCATTGTAGGAAGAGGAATGCAGGGGGTGCAGAGGTGAACAGTGTAGGGAGAGGGATACAGGGGGTGTAGAGGTGAGCAGTGTAGGGAGAGGGAAGCAGGGAGTGCAGAGGTGAGCATTGTAGGAAGAGGAATGCAGGGGGTGCAGAGGTGAACAGTGTAGGGAGAGGGATACAGGGGGTGTAGAGGTGAGCAGTGTAGGGAGAGGGAAGCAGGGAGTGCAGAGGTGAGCATTGTAGGAAGAGGAATGCAGGGGGTGCAGAGGTGAACAGTGTAGGGAGAGGGATACAGGGGGTGTAGAGGTGAGCAGTGTAGGGAGAGGGAAGCAGGGAGTGCAGAGGTGAGCATTGTAGGAAGAGGAATGCAGGGGGTGCAGAGGTGAACAGTGTAGGGAGAGGGATACAGGGGGTGTAGAGGTGAGCAGTGTAGGGAGAGGGAAGCAGGGAGTGCAGAGGTGAGCATTGTAGGAAGAGGAATGCAGGGGGTGCAGAGGTGAACAGTGTAGGGAGAGGGATACAGGGGGTGTAGAGGTGAGCAGTGTAGGGAGAGGGAAGCAGGGAGTGCAGAGGTGAGCATTGTAGGAAGAGGAATGCAGGGGGTGCAGAGGTGAACAGTGTAGGGAGAGGGATACAGGGGGTGTAGAGGTGAGCAGTGTAGGGAGAGGGAAGCAGGGAGTGCAGAGGTGAGCATTGTAGGAAGAGGAATGCAGGGGGTGCAGAGGTGAACAGTGTAGGGAGAGGGATACAGGGGGTGTAGAGGTGAGCAGTGTAGGGAGAGGGAAGCAGGGAGTGCAGAGGTGAGCATTGTAGGAAGAGGAATGCAGGGGGTGCAGAGGTGAACAGTGTAGGGAGAGGGATACAGGGGGTGTAGAGGTGAGCAGTGTAGGGAGAGGGAAGCAGGGAGTGCAGAGGTGAGCATTGTAGGAAGAGGAATGCAGGGGGTGCAGAGGTGAACAGTGTAGGGAGAGGGATGCAGGGGGTGCAGAGGTGAGAAGTGTAGGAGGAGGGGTGCAGAGGTGAGCAGTGTAGGGAGAGGGAAGCAGGGGGTGCAGAGGTGAGCAGTGTAGGAAGAAAGATGCAGGGAATGCACAGGAGAGCAGTGTAGGAAGAGGAATGCAGGGGGGCACAGAGATGAACAGTGTAGGGAGAGGGATGCAGGGAGTGCAGATGTGAGCAGTGTAGGAAGAGGGATGCAAGGAGTACAGAGGTGAGCAGTTAGAGGAGAGAGATGTCGGGGTTGCAGAGGTGGGCAGAATAGGAAGAGGGATGCAGGTTGTGCAGAGATGAGCAGTGTAGTAAGAGGGATGCAGGGGGTGCAGAGGTGAGCAGTGTAGGGAGAGGGATGCAGGGAGTGCAGAGATGAGAAGTGTAGGAGGAGGGATGCAGGGGGTGTAGAGGTGAGAAGTGCAGGAAGAAAGATGCAGCAGGGATTGCAGAGGTGAGCAGTGTAGGAAGAGGAATGCAGGGGGTGCAGAGGTGAGTAGTGAAGGAAGAGGGATGCAAGGAGTGCAGAGGTGAACAGTGTAGAAAGAGGGATGCAAAGGGGGCAAAGGTGAGCAGTGCTGGAATAGGGGTGCAGAGGTGAGCAGAGTAGGAGGAGGGATGCAAGAGGTGCATAGTTGATCAGTTTTAAAATAATGGTTTCAGGGGTAGTCAATGCTGGAAAAGGGGGGAAGAGGTAAACCCTTGGTGCTATGGATGTGTGCGTGCAGTGTTTCGGAAGCGGGATGTTGAACTGTTGGGTGTCCCCTCTCCATCTTCAGTTTTGGAGTGATCACACAAAATCCAGGAGCGGCACAGAGCCAATGGCATCAGCGACAGCATGGGTGAGTGGATTGTATCTTCACTGAATAACACAAACCTAGTACTGCATGAGCTGGACAGATACGTCCCTCCCTACTGGCTGCTATATACTGTATGCTTATTTATTTACCTTGTAAGCAAAGTAGATCAATAGACATCCATAGCAGGCACTAGGTAGGTAAAAAAAAGTGTATGCTCATATGACAGATGTATGGGAATACATGTTTTGCATTCCCATATGTTTACTCTATAAATATAACTACAAGTACGGGAATGCAAAAGATGTATTTAAATCTATTTATTGTATCTTGAATGGGCTGCCTTAAAGTGGAAGGAAAGTGTGTTTACAAAATTGCTGACAGGTAGTTTTTTTTGTAGCAAAGACTGTGTAAGTCTCTTCTGCCCAAAAAGCTCCTACCTGCCTGTCAGCATTTTTATCTCAGTTTACTGGGTCCCACCGCAGAGCGCAATACTGCTGCATAGCAGACTACACTGCTACGCAGGGACCTGATTGGAGTGTACATTTAAAAAAAAAAAAAGGAAAGCCAAGGTGACAGCTCCAGCAATGTGTGGAGGGGACTGAGGGAGTGCTAACGGTCCATGGGGTAGGAGGGCACAATACCTGCCATGCCCCAGGTGCAGACAACCAACGCTACCCCTCTGCTTGGACTTCAAGAAACCTACATAATATCAGTATCTATATATCCATGCCAATACCTGGCCACTTTATTGACCATGTCTTCCATGGACTTCAAGAAATCTACATAATATACAGTATGTATCCATATATCTAGGCTGATACCTGGTCACTTTATTGATCATGTCTTCCATGGACTTCAAGAAACCTACATAATATCCATATATCTAGGCTGATACCTGGTCACTTTATTGAACATGTATTCCTTGTACTTCTAGAAACCTACATAATATCTGTATCCATATATCTAGGCTGATACTTGGTCACTTTATTGAACATGTCTTCCTTGGACTTCAAGAAACCTACTTAATATCTGTATACAGATGTCCAGACTGATACCAGGTCACTTTGTTGGCCATGTCCTCCCTGTGACATCAAGGAACCTACGCAATATTTGTATCTATATATTCTAGACCCCCCCTATGAATCCCTTATGGACCATAGCAATTTTACATTTCTGTCACTTATCTGTTGAGTAAAAACCAAGTTCCATTACGTATATTACAAAGTACATGAATATTTTTTGTGTACAAACAAGGCTTCCTTTTGGCAGTATTGTTTTGCAGAAATTTCATTTTCTATATATGCTAAAGATAGAAAGTAACAAAACATAAAACATCTGTTTAGTTGTCCATTTTTTGAATGTTACTAAAACATTAATATGATGAATAAAAATAAACCTTTATATATATTTAAAAATAAAACTAGTAGAAGGTGAGGAATAAGTTAATGTGTTGATTAACGTGCACCTAAATAGATACAATTTTATTTAAAACTTTTTTTTTTTCCACTTGTTGCTGGAAATATGTGCATATCAGGGAACACTCCTTTGATCTGCACATAAAAGTGCATCAGAAGAATTTGTGAATTATATTTTGGGGTTAATATTTGAGATATGCAAATTGTGTAAGAGGAGGGATGCAGGGGGTGCAGAGGTGAGCAGTGTAGGAAGAGGGATGGAGGGCATGCAAAGATGAGCAGTGTAGGAGGAGGGATGCAGGGGGTGCAGAGGTGAGCAGTGTAGGAAGAGGGATGTAGGGCATGCAAAGGTGAGCAGTGTAGGAAGAGGGATGTAGGGCATGCAGAGGTGAGCAGTGTAGGAAGAGGGATGTAGGGCATGCAGAGGTGAGCAGTGTAGGAGGAGGGATGCAGAGGGTGCAGAGGTGAGAAGTGTAGGAAGAAAGATGCAGTGAGTGCAGAGGTGAGCAGTGTAGGAAGAGGAATGCAGGGGGTGCAGAGGTGAGCACCCCCTGTCTGTCAAATACACAATTGAAAGAGTTTTGTTATATCTCCTTAAGAGGTGTAAGAAACACCTGTTGAACCTGTATAAGACTGGAGGAGCTTTTAAACTAGAAAGTGGGGGGGAGGGTATAAAAATAAAATTACTTAAACTAAACGTTGATAATTTAATCATAGATAAAAATAACACAGAAAGTAGTAAAAAAGGAGTTAATAATAGTGGGCTCACTCCAGTCAATATAGGAAATCCGTTGGCACATGTAAGTATAACTACCAACGGACAACCGAAATCAAGGCAGAATAATAACAATAAAAATAGTGGGGAACAACAAGGTAGTAAACTTTTGTCCCACAAAAAGAGAGGAATTAAATGTATGTACACCAACGCTAGAAGTCTGGCAAATAAAATAGAGGAGCTTGAAATTAGGTTAATTGAAGAGGACTTCGACATAGTACCCTCCCTACTGGCTGCTATATACTGTATGCTTATTTATTTACCTTGTAAGCAAAGTAGATCAATAGACATCCATAGCAGGCACTAGGTAGGTAAAAAAAAGTGTATGCTCATATGACAGATGTATGGGAATACATGTTTTGCATTCCCATATGTTTACTCTATAAATATAACTACAAGTACGGGAATGCAAAAGATGTATTTAAATCTATTTATTGTATCTTGAATGGGCTGCCTTAAAGTGGAAGGAAAGTGTGTTTACAAAATTGCTGACAGGTAGTTTTTTTTGTAGCAAAGACTGTGTAAGTCTCTTCTGCCCAAAAAGCTCCTACCTGCCTGTCAGCATTTTTATCTCAGTTTACTGGGTCCCACCGCAGAGCGCAATACTGCTGCATAGCAGACTACACTGCTACGCAGGGACCTGATTGGAGTGTACATTTAAAAAAAAAAAAAGGAAAGCCAAGGTGACAGCTCCAGCAATGTGTGGAGGGGACTGAGGGAGTGCTAACGGTCCATGGGGTAGGAGGGCACAATACCTGCCATGCCCCAGGTGCAGACAACCAACGCTACCCCTCTGCTTGGACTTCAAGAAACCTACATAATATCAGTATCTATATATCCATGCCAATACCTGGCCACTTTATTGACCATGTCTTCCATGGACTTCAAGAAATCTACATAATATACAGTATGTATCCATATATCTAGGCTGATACCTGGTCACTTTATTGATCATGTCTTCCATGGACTTCAAGAAACCTACATAATATCCATATATCTAGGCTGATACCTGGTCACTTTATTGAACATGTATTCCTTGTACTTCTAGAAACCTACATAATATCTGTATCCATATATCTAGGCTGATACTTGGTCACTTTATTGAACATGTCTTCCTTGGACTTCAAGAAACCTACTTAATATCTGTATACAGATGTCCAGACTGATACCAGGTCACTTTGTTGGCCATGTCCTCCCTGTGACATCAAGGAACCTACGCAATATTTGTATCTATATATTCTAGACCCCCCCTATGAATCCCTTATGGACCATAGCAATTTTACATTTCTGTCACTTATCTGTTGAGTAAAAACCAAGTTCCATTACGTATATTACAAAGTACATGAATATTTTTTGTGTACAAACAAGGCTTCCTTTTGGCAGTATTGTTTTGCAGAAATTTCATTTTCTATATATGCTAAAGATAGAAAGTAACAAAACATAAAACATCTGTTTAGTTGTCCATTTTTTGAATGTTACTAAAACATTAATATGATGAATAAAAATAAACCTTTATATATATTTAAAAATAAAACTAGTAGAAGGTGAGGAATAAGTTAATGTGTTGATTAACGTGCACCTAAATAGATACAATTTTATTTAAAACTTTTTTTTTTTCCACTTGTTGCTGGAAATATGTGCATATCAGGGAACACTCCTTTGATCTGCACATAAAAGTGCATCAGAAGAATTTGTGAATTATATTTTGGGGTTAATATTTGAGATATGCAAATTGTGTAAGAGGAGGGATGCAGGGGGTGCAGAGGTGAGCAGTGTAGGAAGAGGGATGGAGGGCATGCAAAGATGAGCAGTGTAGGAGGAGGGATGCAGGGGGTGCAGAGGTGAGCAGTGTAGGAAGAGGGATGTAGGGCATGCAAAGGTGAGCAGTGTAGGAAGAGGGATGTAGGGCATGCAGAGGTGAGCAGTGTAGGAAGAGGGATGTAGGGCATGCAGAGGTGAGCAGTGTAGGAGGAGGGATGCAGAGGGTGCAGAGGTGAGAAGTGTAGGAAGAAAGATGCAGTGAGTGCAGAGGTGAGCAGTGTAGGAAAAAGGTGAGCAGTGTAGGAAGAGGGATGTAGGGCATGCAGAGGTGAGCAGTGTAGGAGGAGGGATGCAGAGGGTGCAGAGGTGAGAAGTGTAGGAAGAAAGATGCAGTGAGTGCAGAGGTGAGCAGTGTAGGAAGAGGAATGCAGGGGGTGCAGAGGTGAGCACCCCCTGTCTGTCAAATACACAATTGAAAGAGTTTTGTTATATCTCCTTAAGAGGTGTAAGAAACACCTGTTGAACCTGTATAAGACTGGAGGAGCTTTTAAACTAGAAAGTGGGGGGGAGGGTATAAAAATAAAATTACTTAAACTAAACGTTGATAATTTAATCATAGATAAAAATAACACAGAAAGTAGTAAAAAAGGAGTTAATAATAGTGGGCAGTCAGATCTATCCTGTGTTTTGTGCACACTTTCAGTGTTATCTCAAGAAGCCTAATTGCCCCTCCTAGTTCTTATCTTGTGACTACAAACTGATTGGTCTTTATGTTGTTGAGAACAGGATAGGGGGTAGGTTGAGTAGTTTAGCAAAAGAAAACTGGGTAGGGCTGACACCAGTTTCTAAAAATACTGCGTGTTGTGAACCCACAACAGGATCTAGGGAACTAAGAGCATTTTTTTGCAGATCATTATGTATTTTTCTGTACTTGCAGGGTTTCTGAAGAGATAAAACACATTGAAAGGTGAATGTATTGCAGTAGTGCATATGTTTGTTTTTTTGCATCCTCACATATACTTTGGAGAAGCGGGGGTTGGTGCGGATTCTCTGGGAATTAAGTGATTAGTAGCAGCTAATTAGAAGATGTGTGTTTTTGTTTTTTTCCACATTAAGGAAGAAAATGGAAATTCAAAACCATTGTTAGTCCCTTTCTGTCTGTCTTAGAAAATCGATTATATTTATTAATGTAACCTTACAGTTGTTTCTTATTTTATTACTGACAATACTGATTATGATTTACAGGGCTTTGGGGATTGGTAAACAATGCTGGCTTTGGTGTTAATTTTGGTCCCAATGAATGGCAAACAAAAGAAGACTTCTCCAAGGTCCTGAATGTGAATCTACTTGGCACGATTGATGTCACCATACACTTGCTGCATCTTGTCAGAAAAGCCCAGGGACGCATTGTTATTGTATCTAGTGGTGCAGGTCGATTGGCTGTTATAGGTGGGGGATATTGCCCATCAAAGTTTGGCCTGGAAGCTTTTTCAGACAGCTTACGGTGAGTTACCATGAATGGAGCTTATGGTAAATAATTTGTATTGTTTTTATTTATTTATACATTTATTACATGTATTTCTGTAGCGCCAACAATTTACATAGTGCTTTACATACTGCACATTCACATCAGTCCCTGCCTTCAAGGAGCTTACAATATATGGTCCCTCTTGAGCACACATACATGGCCAATTTAGACAGGAGCCAGTTAACCTTTCAGCATGTCTTTGGAATATGGGAGGAAAGTGGAGTACCCGGAGAAAACTAGGGATGCACCGATATATCGGCCGCCGAAACATATCGGCCGAAAATGGCACTTTTGGCATAATGCCGAAAGAGCCATGTTTCGGCCGATACATGGGGTCATCCCTGGTTTCTGTTCTCCCCGCTGGGCGCTGTTCCAGCGGGGAGAAAAGAAAGTGACAGCCGCCGAGCGCTGCAGGAGTCAGGACGAGAGCGCTGTGAGCTGCGGCATCTCTCCTCCCACACTGCTCAGCCGCCTGTCAGAGTCCGGCAGAGCGGTGTGTGGGCGGAGACATCGCTGTCACAGGAGGCTGGGCTTTCCTCTCTACACGGCTCGATCAGCCTCCTGTGACAGCGTGTCAGAGAGAAAAGCAAGATACACACACTCAGTGATCAGTGATCGCTGAGTGTGTGTACATAATTGAGGATATGGCATGTTAACTATATCCTCATTTATGAATGAATGGGAGTGATCTACATTACACCCTTTCATTCATAATTGTAGTAATAGTAAACATGCCATGTACTCATGTTATCAATGAACAGGAACACTCATAGAGGATTCCTGTTCATTGATAACAGGGGACACAGAAAAAGAGATTGAGGACTCTGTGTCCTCAATCTCTTTTTCTATTTTAAAAGGGAAATATCAGGGGTCTGTTTAGACCCCTAATATTTCCCCGAAGCCCCTAAAAGTAAAGTAAAAAATAAAAACATTTAATAAAAAATTAATTAATAAATAAAAATAAATATAAAACATTTTAAAAGTTTATTTAAAAAAATATTTAAAAAAATTGAAAAAATAAAAATAAAAAACATTTTCGGTATCGGTTTCGGTTTCGGCCTGACATTTTTTTTTATTTTCGGTTTTAAAAATTCCATTTCGGTGCACCTCTAGAGAAAACCTATGCAAGCACAGGGAGAACATGCAAACAACTTGCAGATTTGAACCAGGGACCCCCAGTGCTGCAAGCCAGAAATGCTAACCATTATTGTAAAAGAATTCTAGTAGGGTGGACAGTAGTATCTAAAAAAAGACCCATATTGGACATTGTTCCTCCCAAGACAAATGAAGTATAACACTTAATGTCTTTATACATTATCTATAATGTAAAATAAGTGACATATTTAGGAGAGTATGTGACCTTCAGGATGCCAGTTGTTGATTCAAAACCCCAGCACCTTCCAAAAAATACCCCTGTTACTTGTAGTTGGTCTGTTATTAAGATTTAAAAGAGTACTATGGGTTAAGTGTTTTTCCTCATAGTTCTCTTAAGAGGACATAAACTAGCGTCCTCCTGTGACCCAAAGCTCGGTATATTGCGAGCTACAGCTCGCGGTATACTGAGAACCGCCGCAGCCGGGACGGATCCCGACATTACTGTCGAGATGCACCCAGCTGCGTGAGTGACAGCTGTCTCTGCCTATCTACAGGCAGAGCCAGCTGTACCCGCCACCTCCCCCGTCCATTACTCCAATGTGCGCTGGAGGATCGGAGCGGGGAGGGGGGAAATCCCTGCAGGGAGCCGTGACTGGCAGTCACTGCTCTCTGCAGGGACATGATCGGGAAGTGAGCGAGCGACGGTATGTGTTCGCTCACTTCCCGATTTATTGAGCCGACGTGTGACAGTTTCATTGTCACACGTCGGCTCGAACTATGAGATGAGTGACTTTCACTCACCTCAAAGTTCTCCTTTAACTCATTGCAGTATGTTTGTTTCAAACTTTGTGCACTTGTGGCACCATGTGTTACTGAATAGTTAGGCACTCCCCACTGAAGGTGCCTATTGGGGCCAAAAGTGTGCGATTCTGCCCGAAAAAAAAATCTTGTGTACTTTTTCGAGCAACATATTGCTCAGGTGTACACATGCACCATTGGAAATTCCCTATGCTGAGTAATATCGTGCTTCAGGTGTGAATGAGGTATAGGAATTGCTGTATTTATCTTTTATCTAACTTATGGCAAAACAGGTAGTTTCCTTAGAAAAGAACACTGTCTGCACCACCCCATAATCATTTTTATACATAAGTAGAACAGATGCGAGATGGAACAATGCCAATTTTGTCCACAAGCCCTCACCTGTATTCTAGTTTATCATGATCCAGGCTGCTTTCTTAGCTATGTTCTTACATTTCACCATTTACAGGTCAAAGAAACACGCCTTATGTTCTGCTTTTTTGTTATATATTGGTAAAATAATACAGTTTATAAAGTACATCGTATTCATTTTTTTTAACTGCATATGTATTGCTGGTGTTTTACAGGAGGGAGATGCGTGAATTTGGTGTCAAGGTTTCTATTATAGAGCCAGGAGGTTTCAAAACACCGATGGCCCTTGCTCAGGATATTCATAGAAATTACCTAACCCGACTGTGGGAAAAACTGCCTGCACAGATTAAGGAGAGCTATGGAGAGGACTACTACAAGCAAAGTAAGTTACAAGTAGGTACTGGGGGGGATTTATCAAAACTGGAGCAGACAAAATCTGGAGCAGTTGCCCATGGCAACCAATCAGCTTCTCTCTTTAGTTTGTTCAGTTAAGATTTGGAAATGAAAGCTAGAAGCCGATTGGTTCTCATGCACAGCTGCTCCAGATTTTGTCTGCTCCAGTTTTGATAAATTCCCCTCACTGTATTTATCACAGCTTTTTGGTTCTACAGGGAATACACTTCATATAAGTGTTCATATAGGTGCCTCCATCATAACTCACTCCATAGGGTTCAAAATGGCTCGTTCCTCTCTTGTTCTGTAATTGGATACCCTATCACCAGACCATACTTTTCAACAAATATCATCCCATAACACTAAGTGGAGTATTTATAAAATAATCACAGTGCTATTCACTGTGCGAGTATCCGTGTTGTAGATTCGCACCACATTATAGCCACTAGATGGAGATGAGAAGCATAGGGATTCTGTTGCTCCTCGGTTCCATCTAGTGGCCACATAGCGGACAGCTCTGCAGACATTTTAAAATATGTGTAATTCATATTTTTTTAGCACCTAGACACATACATTTAACCCTTGCTGTGCAGGGGTAGCCTCTTTGCAAGGGTTAATAAAATGTTTCTTCTTTAAGTTGGTGACAGGGTCATTTTAAGTCACATGACATTTCAAATGAAACTTCCGATTTCTAAATCCCTAATAATTTTACTATAAATACTGAAAAAATTTAGTTAATCTCTTTTTTAGATACCTATTCGCTTTTATTCATATTACAAACACTTTTTTTTCTTTAATGAACTGACAATCATACACTGAGGACCCCATGACGTGTACCTGCCACACCTACTAACCTGCACTGTGTATGCCAATGCACTCCGGATAAGTACATCCAGCACACTGCATTATGCATTCCAATACCCTGTGGACACTCACCCATTACATCTTTTACCATATTGCACATATCAGAGCTCCCATCTCAAACAGCAAGTTGTCATTATTTAGAAGCCAGGAAGGCTCATAAAGCCTTTTTTCAGTAGCGCTAAGCTCCACTCACTTCCTTCAACTAGCTTCACTGCTTCACCCCACTATACTTAGACATTTTGTTACAACATAGTGGGTCCTGGTCCTCTGCACATACTGCTGCACACAAGGGAATGTCACAACCACAATACATTTACACAAGGTAAAGTTGGGCCTGGCTGGTGCTATGGCATAAAAACTGGCCCTGGTCTTCCCAGAGGAGATTTACTGAGTTATTTAGCCATGTAATGACCGTACTAGCAGTGCATTGATTTTGATATGATATGTTGCAGTTCCAAATAAGGTGATTGTGTTGGTTAAGGTTAAAGGGTTTCTAAACCCTCATGTTTTTTTGCATATATCTACAAGCAGTAGATATATGCAAAAAGTTAAAAAATAACGCTTTAAACGCTCCCATCCGAAAATCCCAAAATGCTCGGCGGCCGCAAAGCATTTTGGGGCGGGTGCATGCACAGTTCGGATTTTCGGCCGGGAGACGAGGAGAGACACAAGGTAAGTCTATGGACGCATGCACCCGCATGCAGACACCTTGGGACAGGAAGTGCCAGCAAGGACAGAGGAGTAAGCGCTGGATCAGAGACCCGCAGCAGCGCTGGAGAGAAGGCTGAAAAGGACAGGAAAGAAGATCGGATTAAGAAACATCGTTAAAGGTAAGTGCTTTAATTAACATTGGGGGGAGGGGAAAACGTTTTTGACTTTAATGTCACTTTAAATTGTAGACGTGCATTAGATTAAAATCATCCCTTAAAAGCCATATAGAGACTGGTGCTGCCACAAAGATCTTTGGTCACTCAGTGTGGCATGATAAAAGTGTTCAACAGGACTACTTGACTAATATCTAAACCCGGCTATAACCTCCCCTAAATGCCTGGAGTTGGTAAGTAAACACCATCATATGGATTTCTTGTTGGATTTAAAGTCCGTACTAATCAAGTTAAAATTTATTGGAGAACCTTGATAATGAGGTATTGTTGGCTATGGAACAAAGTGTGTGTATACAATTTTTATTATAATTGTCACCTCCTACACACAGAACCTTGGTAGGCTGACTCTATATGTGTAAAATAATCTCTGGCAGGCAATCATCAGTGTTCTACCGCTGCACTCCTAAAAACCACAACTATTTGTTAGTCATAAATAGAACATCTGTTTGTCTGTGTGTATACATGACAAGACACTAGAATATTTCTGTATCATCTTTGTCATCAACAGAGAGCATGTTGACAGCCAAAATTGCCTAAACCAACCAAAGCCATGAGATATTTGCACCAAATCCTTTGTACCATGTAATAATTTGACTTCAGTAAGCAAGGATGTATAGAATAAAATATATAACTATTAAAGCTCATCTAAAGCTAAAACTTTCCTTGTTTTGGATAGAGTAGTACAGGGCCAGACCCCCCACTTCTAACCAGGTTTTATTGTTGTCTGTGAACCTGTTGGGAGATATCCCCTTTTTATTTGTCCTAGTGACCATTTTCACTTGCACTGAAATTGATGGGAGATCCCACATTTTGAGTTGCCACTGGAACAGGAATATAGAGGAAGTTTTACAATGAGGACACTTATTGCAACTAAAACTGTCTAAAAGCCGATTTATTCTCACTTGCTGTTGTGTCAATGGGACAGGAAGTTAAATAAAATATACCCCCCAATAGAACACAGATGGCAATAAGAAAACTGAAAGGTGTTAACCCTTCTCTACCCAATCCAAAATAGGGGGGAAAAAAGCTTTGGCTTTAAATATTCTTTAAATCTGTGACATTTAAAAATGGTAACCTAGCCCCCAGCCTATAGAGCAAGCACCTCCGGAGTCCTGCAGGCATCATCAGATTACTGATAAAGTTACAAAGGTTTACACACTATTGTGTTAAAGTAACACACATGGTACCACACTGTGCAAACATTAGTCCATTGCAGTGCCATTCATTGTAAAAGGCACCCCAATGCACCTGTACAGCAGAACACTGCACTGGGTTCAATGGTAGTCCATCAAATAATAATGGTGGGCTGCCTTAACGCACCGAACCTTAACACGTGACTTAACATGCAAGTGTTCACGAACCGCCAAAGTCTTAACAATTCCATACACAGGCACACATCTGTGCTTAATACAAACTACTTGGGCTATTTTACACAACTGTGTGTATATAATGGATTACCAAATTTAAAACACATTTGTATAAGTAGATGGAAAGGTTTATTCCCTTTTTTCTAATTTTCTTTATTATTTATCTTAAGACTTGTAAAACAATACCTACTGATAATGTTCAAGCATTCAATGAGATATGACTATTCAAGGTATGTAATGAGAGTTGTAGTATTTATTACTGTATTACGCTCAAGTCACAAAGTTATAACAGTTATTTGTGATAATGATCATTATTTTCAGCAATGAGACCCAATGACCGCTAAAATTAAGTCACATGGCTAAAAATAAAGATCATAATGCAAATAACATTTTTATTCTAGCTTAGTTAACTGAGTAAATGTCTGGAAGAGCCATAGTAATGGTCAGCAGAGGTACAGCTACATTATTGTAATTAAATAATCAATTTTCTCGCTATTGATAATGAGACACGTTATATAAGACACTAAAGGGTTTAATGTAAAAATAAGCTCTTATACTTTGACCTCATCCTATGTGTTATCAATGGATATAAGCTGATAAAAGTAAATAATACTGTTTCATCGATGTTTCTGATGCACCTATAGGTTTCAAGGCTTTAAAAGCATTAACAGAAGCAACCAGCTCAAAGTTGTATAAAGTCACAGACTGTATGGAGCATGCCTTGACTGCAGTTTACCCCTGGACAAGATACTCACCGGGCTGGGACTGCAAGCTGTACTACCTACCAGTATCCTACCTCCCCACTGCAATCTCTGACTATTTGCTTTGTCGGTCTGCTCCCAAACCCACTGGCAGGGCATCGGTTGCTGAAAAAAAATAGGTCACTCTAAGTGACTCTTTGGGGAATTGGTTTATCTCAATGACAAATGTGTCACAAGCTAAGCTCAACTGTTCACTTTGTTATCCAATAAAAAAAGCTTGTGTACATATACTGTATTGTAATCTTTTATTATTATATTCACACAGATGCAAATCATTCACTGCCTGACAATTACTGCTGGTGACTGGAAAACAGACAAAGTCAAATAATGGGAATCTTCTTACAAACAAACCGCACTTCCATGGATCTTCATAAGTAAAGCAACTTTTATTGATATAAGAAATACATACTGTGAAACAAAAACTCCCATGTGTATAACACCTCTCAGACGCGTTTCACCAATCTGGCTTAATCATAGAGGCGTCTGAGAGGTGTTATACACATGGGAGTTTTGTTTCACAGTATTTTTCCTTATATCAATAAAAGTTGCTTTAACTTATGAAGATCCACGGAAGTGCGGCTTGTCTGTAAGAAGAATCATACGTTGGAGGCTGAGGCGTGCTTGTTTTGGCTGCACATGTGGTGTGATTATTGCTTAGTGTGGTCTGGGAATTGGAGTGGTGGACTGTTTGGACTGCTGGTCAGATAATGAGAAGTTTAATCCATAGTCGTTACACACATACAGTTTTATCCAAAATATTATAATTTATTACATTGATTGTTAAAAGTATACCTGTATATTAAAATTATTCCATCATATAAGATGGCCAATTATTAATGGTTCCAGAAACACCTTATTTATCAGATCGTGTTACCATACATATCTGTCAAAGTACTAACAACTTCTATAACAACACATGAGTCTACACGTTTGGTGATTACAAATCACTTTGTCAGGACCACAAATGTGTAACTTGTACAGTAAGCTCTTCTAAAACATTGTTGACTATATTTTATCAATGAATGATCCATATATTCTTTAAAGTCCTCGGGTTGCCCTTCCCCCAATTATCATCTAGCCAGCAGGCCAAAAATCAATCCATGATGTTAGAGAATGGAGCCTAGTCTAAAGAAATCCACCTTTTTACACCTGGTGACTTACCCAGTGAAAGCAGACTCCCAATGGTTGGGAAATATCCCAGCTATCTGGGTGTCATATTTGATGGTGGGAATGGAGGCTTGTCTGCACCTCCACCAGCAGTACCACTTGTATAATATTATTGAATATGATTATATATGTTTTTACAACTGCACATGGCTCCTTGAGCTCCTCATTTAACAAAGCCAACTGTAAGGAACTACTCCATTGGAACAATGCTGCCCCATAGACAGGCTATTTGTAAGCGGTGCCTCAGACCTCTGCCTTAGGGGCTGTGGAACAGTCTGCACACTTATGCATATCTGGTAGCATTGCCACACCAACTTTTATCTTCAACACTTTCAGGTAGACTATGGCCACAACACTGCGCTCTGGTAACCCCACAATTGCACAGGTCAAACAGAAAAGGGCCAGAAAAGGTTGCAACACCTAAAGAGATATGAACTTCATGGACATTAAACTCAACCGATGCTGTATGGACCATTTTAAGGCTTATAACCGACAAAAGGATATGGCATTAGGCTCAGTGGTGCCCACGTCAGTCCGACCACAGTTCCACACAAACCTCCCCTTCCCACCCAGACGTTTCCTCCTATTCCCCTTACTCTCCCCCTTTTCCTTTAACCATTTGCCTTCCTCTAACCTTTCTTTCTTTACACCTCTATCAGGTCCAACGGGAGATTCCCAATCCAGGGTTCCCCCCTAAATGACCCAAATGTTTAGGCAGAGGTTCTGTTATGCAGGCACTCATGAGTTAAACAACATTGTACTACATCTATAAAAATGGATGCCCACTTACATCTACATGTTTCTATTTAGTGAAGGTCCTTGTACTGTACACAGCAATACATAGACTATGTGTGTGATCCCAGTTGGTATTTATCAGTTTATCTACCTATATTTACTGATATCATTACACGGGGAAGATGAATGTCTACTGCTGAACACCATATAATGTATTGTATCTCTGATGTTATCCGTGTACTTCTTGTTAAACAACCCCAAAATCTTGTGAAGACATAGATATTCTAATAAACGTGTTAAAACCTGTATTAATACTACCTGCTACAGAAGGAAAAGGTAAAAATATATTCAATACTAGTGTTGCAATACAGAAGATATAAGCACCTAATGTGAGGGTAAAATATTCACCATTTTCCAGAATCTTCAGGTTGTTCATATGATGTGCAGGATAGATTTTCTCTTTGCTTCTTCTTTGGGCTGGGTGGTCCTCAATGAATCATTACACTGTGAGTGCAGGGTGCCATTGTGATGATTCCTCAGGGGGTGGGTCCATGACCTCTTGCTCTCACAGTATGTCTACAGTTTCCATAATGAGGAAACCTAGTGGTGAAAAGAGATTACTGTGGGGACAGAGTCAGAGAGGAAGTGTGTTTTTTCCTTTTTTTTCTAACACTCTCTGTATGATATGAAAAACAGAGTTCCAGAGTTAGGCTTTAACTAGATTAATAAACAGAAACATGAATAGTTCTTTCAATAAGTTACACTAAAAGCACTACTAAGGTCCCACTTCTGAGGGCTATGGGCATAGATGAGGTGGTGTGTACGTGGATAGAGAACTGGCTACGGGAACGTGTCCAGAGAGTATCTGTAAATGGCACCTTTTCGGACTGGGCTAGTGTAATGAGCGGTGTGCCTCAAGGATCTGTGCTGGGTCCGATACTGTTCAACCTATTCATTAATGACATCGGGGAGGGAATAAATAGCCATGTTTCCGTGTTTGCAGACGAAACAAAAATAGGGAGGGTACTAGAAACGGATCGTGACAATATAACATTGCAGGAGGAACTGGATAAAATAGGGGAGTGGGCAATACTATGGCAGATGAGGTTTAATGTCGATAAATGCAAAGTAATGCACTTTGGACATAAAAATAAACAAATAGGCTATACAATCATGGGTATGCCGCTAGGGAAGTCAGAAATAGAAAAAGATTTGGGGGTCATTGTAGACCACAAACTGAATGGTAGCTTGCAGTGCCAAGCTGCGGTAAACAAAGCTAGCAGGGTCTTGTCCTGTATTAAGAAGGGAATGTATTGCAGGGACAAGTCTATAATTGTGCCTCTATATAGATCGTTGGTTCGGCCACATCTGGAGTACGCGGTCCAGTTTTGGTCGCCGGTACTACATAAATTAAGTTTTAGAAGGAGTAGATGGAGGTGCTGAAATCAGCATCTTAATTTCAGTCAGGAATTACAACCTACACATTTCCGTTATTACAAAACTCATATAACAGCCAAATCCAAAGATTTCTGTAACTAACATGAAAAAAGTAGCACTGGGGCCTTGTTCATGCTTGCAGCATGTGTAAGTGCATTAATTTCAATGGACTGCCCAACGCATGACAAATGCAGCAAAAAAGCTCATGCAGCAGTTTGAGCTGCTAGCTTCACGCATTTTTTGAACATGCTTTTTTACATTAACAAGTGGGGAGGCCACAAGCACATCACCTGTTCCCGCATTGCATGAATGTGCGTCCATGTGTTGCAAAGCGTGAACAGGGTCTTACTGAGTAGTCCATAAAGCTGTGGTCCTCAGTATATTATTCTCTTAAAAACATATTCTGCAACATAAATATCTGTGACCTACTGTATATTGCCAAATGTCCTGCACACCCTTTAAACCAATTTTATATATTGTGATAATTTTAATATCACATTTGTCTTTCAGTAAATAGGTTTTTTTTCCTTTTTATGAAAGAATTATCCTAATTATGGTCACAACTCAATTTAATTAATAAAAAAAAGCAGCTGCGATACTAAACCCCACCCCCAGCCTGGATGTGTGAACCAACTGTAGCCCTGGCTGACAGCCCTTTGAACCAACAGGAGTGTGGTGCATGCTAACGGCTTCTGCATCATCCATCTCTGGCTGGCCTCCCTCCCAGCTGACTGACATCACTAGCTGCCAGGAGCTGGGCAGGACGCTGGCTAGAGTGTCTCTCCCAGTTTCTGGCAACCAGTGACATATCTGGTTGACAGGAGCTAGGTGAGATACTGGCCAGAGCGTCCCAGGTTGCTAAGACCTGGGCGGAGAGATGTGTATGGCCCTGGCAAGAAAGAGGGCAGCGGGCACACTGCAAACATTGCGTCATTATAGGGAGCCCTGCCCCTGAGCTCTATAAGCATGTTGGGGGCATTTTGTCCAATCACTTAGACAAAATGCATAGGGTGAGACTAAGACTAGGCGGGCCGCTTCACAGGCAGCCCGGGGAACGAACAGCATTTACCTTGCTGCAATCATTTTTCAAATATTTGATGCTGGGTTAATCTTGCCACTTTTCAACTAGTACTTTCCTTTTTGGGCTACAGTAAAGCCATTTTGTAACGCTATTGGTGTGTTGGTGAGTTGTCAGGTTCCTTAAGGGTGGGTTACCACTGCAAAAAGGCAAATTCCAGCTTCTCCTTAGGGAGCCAGTGCTACACAGGTTATTCAACTCAGTATTTGTTTAAACCCCAGGAAACATGGGCGGCTGCCAGAGAGAATATTGTGATTATTGCTGGTGGAGTTGAACTCTGCATGCTCAGTGAGTGCAAGCAGGCACAGCCAGCAGCAACGGCTGTCGGATTTGTACTCTGTACCAATCAATGACCAGTGCTATCGCTGTTATGTTGAAAAAGACCTCTGACCAACCCAGAGTGCAGACATTTAGTGTTCAGGGATGGCATTTCCGGGAATGTTCTAATCAGCCAGTTTGTATGCAACCATAGAACAGAATGCACCTGCATCCAGAGCGGAGTTTAACCATCTCTAAGTGCAGCAAACTATGCTCCCCAGATGACCCGTCTGAATGAGGTCTTTAAGGCTTGGTGTTTGCAGGGTGCTTCACATGTCTTATGAACTACTACAGCTTAGTCAAATAATTTTCAGAATAGCTAGATCTGGAAAGAATATACAAGTTTGGACAAGATGTGGCACACTCACACAACTAACTTTGAAT